CTTTCATAAATGATTTTTATAAATGCAAAATTCACGAAAAATGAAAAAAAAATATATCTCGACATTTACCTCGCTTCATATTCGTCTTTCCATCTGCGGGATCTAGGAAAGTCCAGCAAAATCTTTTCTACCTGACCGACCACGAGCTCCTGAAGGCGGTCTGTGCTCAGAGGGAGTCTCCTCGTCCTCCCGAATGCGAATTATAAGCGTTCCCGACAGTTTCCGAGGGGTTTCCCGGTGCGACTGATCATCTCTCAGCGGGACTTCATCGCGACACACTCCCTTCACTCTGTTTGCCGTCGTGTTCTGCGTGGCGCCACTATCACCAACCAAATCTGTGTTCAATTTAAAATTCTTTCCTGCTCAGCATGGAGCCAACGACGGCAACCTAATCTTGTACAGGTTCGTGGTTTTAGCCTGATCTCTTCCAGGGCAGACCAAGATATTGTAAAAACTTCCTGTTACAATCACCTGTTCCACCGTCTGCAATCAAATATTGTATTTAAAAATCGCCCAATTACCGTACTGATCTTATTTTTTTAAAACTGAAATCAAGGGAGGGGCGAGAAGATGAAACAACTATGGGGAAGAACAAATGCAATGCCGAGTTTTTGCGAAAACGTTTATAATCTTCAACGTCATTTAAGGCGACAAATGCCTTTCCCGTCTGAGCAACTATTTCCTTCCTTCCTTACACATAAACATTTAATATTATATACACAACAAAGTTCATTACACAAAAACTGTAATTATGTATTTAACATAGACCTAATATACTATCGAATCACCATATCTCAGCTATAAGGTGCCGAGGTCAAATATATCATTAAAAAGTCCGCTATATTGGTGCCGTCCAATGTAACTTATCACAATCAAACTTAAACGAATTCAAAATAGCCGACCCGCATAGGATCAAACCCACCACCGCTTAAGGGCTTCCAAATATCCTTCCAGGACTTCTCCAGGATTTCTCCAGCAATTATAATCTCTCTAGCTAATACTGTAACGTTAAAATATACGAATATAACAAGCAAATTTCTTTGTGTCCTTTACTGTTTCAACTCTGGCCGTTTCGACACTGCACATTCGTCAAAGATATTGAAAACCTATCAATCGCTCAATCAATCTAATCCATTGCTCAGCAACGGGATACAATCATACAAGGAAGATTAATGTTGAGTGATGTCACAAGAATATTGTATCGGTAGAATCCAGTTATTTAACCCAACAAATATACGGTGCATCTGCGTGAACGTTTATTCAGAGACAGATCATGTTTGCGGTCAAAAGGCGTGAACGTTTATTCAGAGACAGATCAGGTTTGCGTCCAAAACCAACGTGAAATAAAGTGAAAGATATCTTTAAATTTCCAGCTTGTTGTAGAACGCAAAATGTAGATTCAGTAAGCGAAACGACGGGTTGTATTTTCACTTGTGTATATTTTATAAAATTTATAAACTGGAACATCAAGATGGCGATTATTCAAATATCTACTGCGATAGTCACATCAAGGTCACTGAAAGTTCAAATAAATGTTCAGTGGTTGAACTCTGAATATAGAATCCCAGTTACAATGTCACTTATTTTACAAATGCGAAGCGATTTTTTTTTCATCGTACTTAATTTCGATTTCAATGGGCCTAAAATCAGGAATACCAACATGTTTGTTGTATCCATTTCTGACGTGAAGGTAACATTACAAACAATTGGTAATTTAAAAAAATAACTTTCACTTATGGATCATTCAATACTAAGACGCAGTTACAAACTCAGATTCTTGGAAATGTGAAATAATGGAATTGCATTCTTATAAAATGTATAACGCTCTCTTATTGCTCCGAAAATGTGCGAGTTTTACCGTAAATTTAATCTCTGGATCCCCCTAAACTACACAGCCTTGTACTTTATGAGAAGATTTCCCTCCAAATACCAAGGCTATAAACTTATATTTATATATTGTTTGATAAATTTTGTGGGATAGTTGTAATAACTGCTAGTTTGTCCTGAAAATTCATGTTCTTACGTTTCATTAAAATATTCTATATCACTTTTACGAAAAATTCTAATCAATATTCATTCTACGTCGCCGAAGACGGGGATAATTACAAACATGCCCACTTTAACTGCGCACTATCCAGTCGGTTCAGAACTTTTACCCTGAAAAACTTTCACTGTTACGGACTCAAGACTTTGTTGCATTCTCTCCGCATTGTGGAATTTTAGTTTGCTGCTTTGCAGATGCCTGAGACGTAGAGATTCCGCGAAATGAATCAACTGACGTTGCAGCCGGAAATACACCCTGTTTATAATTCTACCATCTACGTCTGGGAATCCGTACAGATACTGAAACCAAAAACTGATTAAAATAATCATGTGCGTTTACAAACATACAGAAAAGTAATTAAATACACCAAAATTACATGTGAAAAGACACAGGATTAAAACGTTCAACAACACATTTGTTTGCTGAACATCCTTAATGACTGAACGGTAAATTAAAGGTAATTGACAATTAGATGCCTCCCGCAGTTAGCTCTGCGTTACACCACAGCTGGTGGGTCGTTGTGGGACAAATAGGGACAACTTATTTTCTCTGTCGCTTTAAAACAGCATACTGACCCAAATAAAACCTGTTCACATGTATCTTAAGAAATCTTGCCTGGAGGATAACGATTTATGGAGTTCTTGGTACAAACGTAATATGTACAAACAATGCGTGACGAGAGAATCATACATATTTCATTCAAATCACTCATCGAATTTCGGCGAAATATAATATTTATTTACAAGTTGAATTAAACTTTATAGCCATGATTGTCCCAACCTCTAGATCGTCTTAATCAAATCCCTGAAATACTACCAGTCACATAGAATACAAATTATATTTAATATATTACAGATATAATAACTCATAATTTTATTTAAAACTGTTTATTGCATATTTATCGAAATACTAGCAGATAAGATATGTAGCTCAGCGACATGATATTTATAGGCTATGTAAAAAATATAATTCATTATCACATAAAATTCACTATGTGGTAATTTAATAACGTCAACAAGAGTATATATGTGTATATTCTAAAAGAACATAAAATAACGTCTGGATTAAAAATGGCTGTATATATTTCAAAATGGAAGTCGTATTTTTATCCTTGATAACATTATTTGTCATTCTCGTTAAAATATATATAATGTGTATTACGATAATTGGTAAAGTATGTGAAAATGCGATAAATTTAAATTAACTGAAAACCACTGTAAAACTGATAGAGCAAATGTCATCAAAATATGCTCCATTAAAACTAAATGTAATTCACAGAGATGCATAATAAAAAATGGTGAATTTTGAAAAACAAATTCTCTTCGTAATAAATGTTTATGTAATGGAATGAACAAAAACTGTATGCATGCCCCAGATGACAGATTAATAAATGTATTTACACAGTTTGCCGTCTATGATTTGTTACCGTCGTTAGTAAATATTCCAACATTTCTACATTTTCGAACCATACTTTGTTTTTATATAATTATAATAATAATGATAATAACAATTCTACATACTTTTTAATTTTAAATAACTGACTGACTTACATTGAAACAGGACCATGTGATAATATAATTTATGCAATATCAATTTGTAGGTTTCCGGAACGCAGTCATTTCATTCAATATATGATTATTCATTTATAATGCAGTTTCACATATTTTAGAACTGTACGGTAATCACTCTTGTTATTCGTGAAGAAAGACATCCAATTCCCTAGCAGAAACATCCCATCACGTTTGATTGGCAAAGGCTGAAAGATTCAAATGGTGTGTCCTTATTATATTTGTTTTCACGTGCGTGACATAATGTACCTCATGTCGATGTTTCACGCTGAGATGTGACAGGCATTTTCAGGGAAATGATGGATGAATCCGGTGCGTCAAAAGCATTTTCTGACGTGTAGGATTACTTACGTTTATCGTGGCCATTTGAGGAGAACATAACTAATTACAGAACACACAAAATACGTAACATACAAAGACACCTGTCACTGTGGACTGCCCCAAATAAAGAATATTTCCACAATCTACATAAAACCTCGAGAATTAAAGACCTACATAAAACTCTACATAAAAATATAGATACGGATAAATTATACAGGTTATGCTGCAATAGACTGTCAAATATATTCATCTAGTCAGATATTTAGTAACAGATTGTACTTATTAAAAGCTCAAAGTACAGCATTTTAAGCGTCGTATGGAAGTAGGACGTTCTTAACTGAAGTAGAATATCTTACATCTATCTTAATATGTTTTAAAAGCAATATATTTGACGTTGACAATATTAGTAACATAACTCTATTTGTATCAAAATATCTCTTGTTATATAAGAGACGTCGTCTTTAGTATATAAGTCCCCTAGGTAATCTCACACAATTCTGTGAATATGACAGACTGATTAATCATTCTAAACGTATAAATTAAAATAATCTGTCACATATTTTTATTTTTAAAGGTCCTTTGGAAAAATCATTCTTACTGATTGAGGCACTTAGTAAGATGATCCCAGGAGCCTCAACTTAGGCCTATATATCAATAGTAATACTTTCAACTCCAAAAATAAAGAAAACGAATTACACTTTGCTGTTAATGTTCACAAGGCAAAGTACAAATGCAAGCAATGGATTAAATTTCACATATACGCATTTTTTTGTCAAGTTTCAGACATGTTAATGGACATTTGAAAATACATTTTAATTTTTTAAAAAAAAATTGATTAAGTATGAAAAATATTAAAATATACTACAGAAACTTATGTAACATGTGGATGCTTTATAAAAAAACGCATTGTTCTTTCCGCGGCTTTTCGTGATGATATAAGTACATCTACAAACAGCGGTCAGATTTTTATGAGCTACATTTTAACAAATCCCCTGCATCGTTAATTAAGGGTATCATTAAAACTTATATATTACTGTATAAATTAATTTTTGTGCTTCAGAACTCACCGTTCGGTCGCCTAGATGCTTCACCCGGCAGTTGAGGATGGCAGATTGTCCGACAATTGCAGTTACGTTGCGAGGTGATACGTCATCAAAGTAGGGACGTTCTACGCCCCGCGAGACATCGATGTAGCGGCTGGATTTGGGACGCAAAGTGTCTCCCACAGAGAATGGCGGTGAGTGAACCACCGCCCCTGGAAGAGCAGTGCCTGCAACCAACAATCAACCACATGTGAATCGGCCATTTGCAAAAACGTTCGGAAGAGAGAGAAAAAACACTATTTGTTCTGCGCTTCAATTATTTTTCCACAAGAATAAATGGTATAAAAATTTTAACACAGTTACAATTCAGTACCAAACTTTTAAAAGCATGATTATAATCCGTCAGATTTATAGTTTTAAATTATATATTATATCAAATTCCACAAATAAATGTAAGCATATCTGAGCACTTAAACAAAAATATTGGTATCCTCTGATTTCTATCCAGATGCTTATCATTGAAACACCAAGCCACACTATAGTAATGAGACAATTCATCATCACTCGCGTGTCCTCTTTACACAAGCAATGAACCACGACGACACTAGGTAAAAATCGGAAAATCCCGACAAAGAAGTTCTTTGCAGGGGATCTTGTCACCTGCCTTAACTAAATTTTCGATTTTTGTTTATAAAGTTCTACGGTTCCGAACGTTTTACAAAGTCTATGAAAGAAATTAGTTCAAATTATTTATGTAGACGTATTTTATTACAGGAAGTTTGTCGGTACTGGATAAAACGTCTTTGGATGTAAAGATGCCATCCAATTCGCCTTAACGTTGTCGTTAAATTGTTTTAAATAAATAAAAATTACAAAACCCATAAAATAACTAACAGTTACAGTATTAGAATTAATAAGTTAAATAAACTGACGGTGTTCTTGTAGGTTTTGACGTCGTGTAAACTCGTCCGTAGATTGTAACGTTTTGAAGAAACATACCGCCTCCATCTTCAGCTCTTAAGGACAGTATGTTTCACCAAAAAGTTGGTATTTACAGAGTCAACATTGCGTCATAGCCCAGAAGTACGTTATCATGCGAAAACCTAAACTCTTACAATTTAACACATTTATCTCTGTGGAAATGGTTTGTTACTGTGACAATTGTTTATCAAAGATATCTCCCTACATAACAGCGATATATATACAGGGATACTTCCGTTCTATACTAGCCTATATTAAATATTCTGAATGAATAAGAGAGATTATGTATAATTGGCCCGATGGCAACGTAACAAATATATTCGGATTATATTTGGATTCAAATAATGTATATGAGCGCGTGTATACGATCATATTTGGATTCAAATAATGTATATGAGCGTGTATACGATCAGCATCGAAGTTCCGCATAACAAAAAGAAATGACAGACAAAATGAAAATTGGGTATGAAAAGCTGGCACTGGAATTCCTAGAATTCCGTAAAATAAAATACGTGCACAGAAAATGAGACAATCCGATTTATAAGAGGGTCTGAATCAGTGACGATTTGCTGTGTTTGAAAGATTGTAATGAAGGAAGGACGTGTACATGAAACGCATGGCCGCAGTTGTTATGACAGAATACTAATTAGTTATGTGTCACAGATCTACGACTTCACTGAAATATGTGATATGATGAACGTAAAATAAAAGTTATTAAAATGTAAAAGAGGCAACATCAAAATTGAAACACCCACATGTTTGCAACATACATCATATATCGAAATTATTTTATCAACGAATTTTAATGATCAGTTTCCAAAAAACTCCAGCAGTTTCTCTGAATTTTCACCACACGACGTTGTCCCAAAATCAACTTTCCTTAGGAACATTTTGAGGATTCAATATTTGAATATTGGACTTGCGATAGATCAACCTAGCATAGAGGTCTATAATAAATAGGACGGTAGCTCCACGCCTTTTATACGCCCTGATAATGTAGTTCTTAGGAATAGCTGTATTTACCTATAACCTATGAAGGAAATCTCGTTAAAGTAGACGACACAGGGATACCCAGATTTTCGAAAATTTAATGTAAAATGATTAAAATTCGCTTTTAACAGTTTTTAGGAACCAAGATACATCTCGCTGATAGTAGGAACAGCATAATAGGCGATATTTTATTCCCTTCCCTCATAGAAATAACAGTCCAAAAACTTACAAAGGGACTGCACGAAAATTGGACTTTGTTAAAGGTTCAGCTGGTACAAAGTATCTCCCAACCAGCGTACACACAAATATGACGGCTAGACCAGTCCCAACAAAGGGAGTGCAAGTGTGATGGAACGGTGTAGTGATAACTAGGACGATACCGACGTGGCTGGCGCCTGCTTGGACGGGCAAGGTATTCTGAGCGGGACGGACGGACGGACAGACAGCCCGCGCCGGTGTGTTGTCACACAAACAATAGACGCCATTCTTTGTCAGGACGTAGGACGCGATGGATTATACAGCCAATAAAGCTATTTGTGTCGGGGGACAGCCATGTTATGCCCGTAAAAGAGATTATCATTATTAGGAGACGCTGTTTGTACTTCCTCAAATTTGTCAAACGCTGGATGGGCTATTGTCTGGAATTTGACGGAGATCCCTTTCGCACTCATCAAAGAAGTGAAGTGCGAGATATGAAAGACACGAAGTAATAACACGACCGGGGGATAAATTTACTTAAAAGGAATTTGTTTCAGATTTCAAGAAGAAATGCCACAGAGTGGCAAAATGATTATGGGATTTACATCGAAATGAGTTAAATACAACGTGTGAATTTATAAATGCCCGTCTCCTTCCAAGTTGTCCGGGGTCATATTCTTTGCGAAAAACGGAAGAAAGATTCAAAAAAGAGACAAGCAGGAAACGAACAAAAGAAAATGTCAGACTTCAGATCAAGAACTGAAGTCAGGACTCGGACGCACTTCGTTTGGAGAATCAAAATACGGACGACTTCAAATACAGCGAAAACAGAACTTTTTTTTAAAAAAGGAAATGAGTCACTGACATCCGCTTAAGTTGTTAATAGTTAAGTTTGTGTACGAGAACTTATATTATTTCACTTAATAAGGAAATAAATGTTGTCAGAGTTATACTGCTGTAGTTATCGTCTTGAAGTGATCTCTTCCTTGTATACTTTACGACAAACGTCTTGTGTGTATTTCACAAGCGTGCTGCGTTCCCCACTCATCACAAACACCTTACGAAATTACCTGACATTAAACTTTTAAAAATAAGTTTAGTCACGACTGATCTGAGGAATGATCAGAAATCTGAGAAGTCTTAGGCTACAAAATTGATGTTTTTTCACATGAAAGACAAAGATTAAACTAGGCTCGAGGTGTTTTATGTGGAGGTTGGTATCTCTGTTATCACTCGTCAACGAAACACAGAATTTTAAGATGGAATCAGTAGGAGAATTCACGTGGTATGTTTTTCAAAACACGAAATGGCACACACAAACCTTTTTTTTTTATCAAACAGCGATAAATTTAGAATGTGTTATAAATCTTCTAGTCGCGTTATATATGGGACTAAAGTATGGATATTAATACTGACAAACAACGTTTTAATTCACACTGTCCTCCTAGTACCGCGTATCAGTCCGCGCATAACAGTGCAATGCATTTATGACAATGATTGCCCGCTTCAAATACTGGGGTCATATCCAATCTCACTATTCACGCTTGGCTGGTTAATCTCCTTATATATCATCGATATATAATAGAATTAGTTATGAGTAATGAATAATTAATTATCGTTGGCCTCAGAGCAAGATTCGAACTGGGTATCTCCCGAGTGCTATTCAAATCTGCTTTGTGCATTCAAAGTACACTAAATATTTCTACATTAATGGGAATACAGGCGGCTTTTCATGGGCCTACTATTCACATATCGGCGTATACAGTAGGGAAATGTAAAACAAAGGGACTACTTGAGTGACCCGGGAATAGATGGGAGGAAATATTAAAACTGATACTGCGAAACAGGGTGTGTGGAGGTACGTTGCAGTAGAGGGCTCTTATGGACACGATAGCAAATATTTGTTTTTCATAAAAAGCGAGGAATATATTGACCATTGAGGATTCTACGCCATGGAGGTTATATATCTATGAATAAAATTTATGAATGTGTGTTCTGTTGTAACCGTTGCCATGGTAATTTTCTTGATTGATATTTATAATTGTGTCTTTACTACTTTAGATTTTTCCATCATTCTTGATGAAAAATTTACTAGCGAGTTACGTTATTACTTGCAAACAGAGATACATTCTGAAATCTAAGTACCAGAAGAAAATTTAGCTATAACCTTCCACGGTCAATTCAGCGTTACCGCATAGGATGACAGAAATGTAATTAACAAGTGGATGGGAGGATTCGAGGTACGTATAGAACGCGGTAGACAAATACGACGCGAAGGAAATAGCCATTTCAACGGCGAAGGTAGAAATTACATCCCGGTCATTCTGTCCAGTCACCTAATTTCAGCAGTGTGTGTGGAAGATAAAATTAGAGAAACGATAACACGGTTACAATCTAATTACTTTAACCTCAAGGTGTACGTTTTTTGCAGTCTTGTTTCGAGTTTAAGAGGGTTCCGGGTTTGAACATCACCCTGGACAAAACGTTACACATTTAATCTTCCGCAGGTCCTCTAAGCAAATTCTTGGACAGTATTTCAAAGCAGACCACGCCCACTTCAGTACTCAATTTAATATTAATAATATCGATTCTGTCAATCCACGAGACGAACAAAGTCATAAAAGATACTTAAAAAGCTTTGGGTTTAATGTTTGTTCAGGAACAACAACAAAAGTGGAAGCTGTTGTGTGAATACACTAGTAATGTACACAAAACTTCAAGTGAATACACAGGCGATGTAATTATTATTAGAAAGCACTGAATACTTACTTACAACTCTCCACATTCAACATCCCTTCTTGACACAAGATCAATCATTAAACAACGGGTTATCTTATCAATACGTTGAAACAAGTCCATCAAGAAAAACATTTCCAAGGATTTGGCGAAGAAACAATTAGTTAAGACGTTCCTACTGATAGTTGAACCCATTTTAAAGTATTTTTTATAAAATTTTCCTCTCACGTGATTTCACTGAGCTGTCAAACTGAACAAAGAAAACTCTTTTTCCTAAGTTGCTGGCCACTCCCTCAAGATTAGGCCACTAAGAATTTGGTGT